CTTCCTTCCTTCCTTCCTTCCTTCCTTCCTTCCTTCCTTCCTTCCTTTCTTTCTTTCTTTCTTTCTCTCCCTTCCTCTTTCTTTCTTGTTCTTTCTTTCTTCTCTCTCTCTCCCCCCCCCCACTCTCTCTCTCACACACACACCTGGTCTGGGACAAACTGTAATCCAGTGAGTTCCAGTCAGCAGTGGGCGGTGGGACAAGGAAGGAAGGGGGGAGGAGGGGTGGTGTGCGGCTGCAGTGGGGCCTTGAGCACCCCTGCCCCGGCCCTCCCAAAGCACTTCTGCATTTGGCGGCAGTGTGGCGACAGCTGCAGCAGGGCCTTGAGCACTCCCTACCCCATCCCAGCCCTCCCAAAGCACCTCCGCATTTGGAAGTGGCGGTAATGGCTGCAGCGGGGCCTGGAGCACCCCCCGCCCCAGCCCTCTCAAAGCACCTCTGCAGGCGGCAGAGGCGGCAGACCTGGATGCCTCCCATTTTGCCCCCGGGAGAAGTAGGCAGAGGTGGTGGAGACTCTGCTGTGACATCAGCTGCCCTACCGGGCAGAGCAGCACCACCGCAGCTCGCTGTGCCACAGCCACCACGTGGTAGGGAGAGATGGGAGAGCGCCGCATGGTGGCTTAGCCAGCCAACTGAGCCTGGGGATGAGGGGGCAGGTAGGTAGGCCCCAGCCAGCGTCGCCAGTGGTATGGGGCCATGCCAGTGGGGAAGCCAGTCAGCTGAGCCCAGGGATTGGGGGCAGGTAGGTAGGCCCTGCCAGCACTGCTGGTGGGATGAGGGTGTACCAGTGAGGAAGCCAGCCAGCTGAGTCCAGGGATGGTTGGGGGGCAGCAAGGTCTGGGGACAGTCGGGGAGGGGATAGTGCAACTTGCAGGCTTACCTGTGAGCAGGCAGATCAGGGCTGCTCAGTTGCGGTTAGGGTTAGCCTAACCCAGCTGGAAGGAACAGTGGAGAGCCTTGTGGTGGGGGGAGGAGGGAAAGGCGACTGGGACTTGCAGAGCCTCACTCAGCCAGGGAGATCTTCAGAACAGGCAGGGCTGCAGCAAAAGGCAGATAGCAGTGGCTGGCCTGGTGGGTGGGCAAAAGCAGGCTGCAGGCATGTCATGCATGTGCACAATGTTGCACATGTTCGATAGGGACTGACTGGGCAGGGAGTGGAGAAGCAGGCAGAGAGGGGTGGGGCCAGCCAGAGGCCCGATTTACCAGTTTTCCAAACTACCGGGGACCATAACAACCAGTTCTACCAAACCGGTGCGAACCGGTAGAATTCCACCTGATTCAGGGCATTCTGACAGATAAGGATCTTTTCACATCACCAATGCTTTTTAAAAACAACAATGAAAAATACATGTAGTCTTCTCCTACACTCACTCTCAGACAATTATCCTGAAAAGTCAGGCTGAGTTATCAGCAGTTCCTTTCTCTGATGAGCACAAAAAATGGCTGCCAGCCAAGATTTCCCCCTTCCCACTCCTTGTTCTGCTGCACCATTTATTCATAATAGGAGGGAATATAAGAAAACTGGTTCCTAAACTTCCCTGAAGCCCTGTGTGAGAACATTGAAGTGTCACGAAGAAGTAGCTGGCTTATTGCTGTTGGGGAAGGGGAGGCCTGGGGTGAGCCATTGGTGAGAGATTCCAATGAGAAAGCTGCACTTCCCAACACCTCAAAATTCAACCATTTCAAATCCAAAAAACAAAGGTTGGAAATCTGGGGCAGCCAGACCAGAAGAAAACGAGCTGTTCCACCCAGGGAATGCCAACCTAGGAAACAAATGGAGCAGACTTCCATGGAGAAAGGCCTCAATAATGAGGGGAAACAGCTGTGCTGCTCCTGCCATTGCAGGAAGGATGGGGACATGAAATGAATATGATTTCAGCAAATCTATAATGATATGAGCAACAAAGGTTTTTGCAATAATGATAACAAGCCAAATAAACTTAGCAATTGTTTCTTGTGTATTGACACTTCCTAATAGCATTATTCCAATTTCACACTTGGAAGCAGACATACTATCATTTGTATTATGTTACATTTGCATAAGGGACAGATTACAACAACCTTCTGTAACAACTTTCCGAGAGAAAATAAACTGGAAGTTGGGATTGCACAGCCACCTGGACACATGAGTGGTGTTTGGAAAGCTGATATATATGCTAGTTTCCAGTCCAGAGGAAATTGTATCTAAGCTTCTATTAGCATCATATATTTTAGCATGCTAATATATTTTTGAATGAGTGCCATTGCATTGGCTAGCTAGATATATAAGATCATTTTGCCATGAGATATAAGGTCAAATATGGGAAAGCTTTTAATTAAACTACACAAAGTGTTCAACATTAATCTTTGGTGACTAGATTTTCCACAGATGTGGGAGAAGGGGCAGAGTGTGCTGGAAGGAAGAGAAAGGAAAATCCAAGGTAGAAAAAGAAGAAAGGAGCATAGCATATGAACAAATCTAGCAAAGAAAAAAAAAGGGGTGCATGATTGTTGTGTTTAATCCAGAATACGGGTAGAAGCTTTTCCTACAATGTAGAATCAGTAAGGAGCCAGGGTTTTGTTGGGTTGCTCAATGTGGCATATAATTGCTGTATCATTCATCTCTCAAAGCAGATTTGCTGCTCCTTAAGGAAGGCAATAGACTGTATAGTTATCACCTGAAATGGGATTTAATCCCTCCCACAAACTATACAACCTACTACCTCACCTCCACAAAGCAACACAAAGACCTCACACATTTGCATATTTATAGAACTGCATGCCTGACACCCAAGGGCCTCAAAATGATCATTGTTCATGATGATAACTTGCATGTAGAAATGGGTAATCCCATGGGAGAAGTTGAATTGACTGTCTCCTTAGGAAAGACAGTAGATTGTATAGTTAGCTCAAAGGGAGAAGATGGCTCCACAACTATTCAATCTACTACCTCAGCCTCAAGGACAGCATTGTTTTGATGTTTAGGACTGGCAAACTTCCATGATGGCTATGAAGAACATTGATGGTCTTGAGGTTCAGATAAAGATGGCTGATCAAATGCAATCTACAAAAGCATAAAATGAGGAAATATCAGCAAATGCAAAGTGGACTCTTGAAGTTGTATTGAAGCAAGTGTTCATTGGTTTTTTTCCAGACATCCACAATAAATCAGTTTGATAAAGCTTGATAAAAGAGACCCGCTATGATTTTTCTTCCAGTTCCACAATTTTCATTTTCATTGTGTAATTGCTCTCTTTCTCCCCTGAAAGTATATGGGAGGGCAGGAATGGATAATTTCATCCTCAGCCCGCATCTAGGCTGCTGGGAAGATGAACTTTTCTTGATTTGCATGAAAAATAGTTATCTTGCCCTTTTCTGGTGGAAGCAGGTAGTCAGGTAACCTGGTCCACCTGCTATACTTCATTCCATTTTACACAAATGGCTAGTAGACGGTGTACTCCTCAATCTTCATTCTCCGACAGTCATTTTATACTGTACTGTTAGACTCCATGATATTAGACTTTGTTTTGTTTTTGGTTTTCAGATTAAGCAGTAGAACAATGAAATGTAGTCTCTCTTTCATGGAGCAGTAAAATACTGACCTGCATTACTTCCTTCCTTCCTTTCTTCCATTTCTAATCTATGTGACAGGAAAAACTACAAAACTTATTTTTTTTTCTATCAGAACTCAAAACCAAAGGCCATAAAAAGAAAAGCAATTGATGCTTGCTTTGCTAATGTGGGTAGGAGGAGTAAAAAAAAGCAGGGGAATCCACCAATTGCAAACCTTGGTAATTCTGACCAGGTTGGACATCTGGCTGTCACTGTTGTGGAGGAAGGAGATGAAACTTAGATAAAAATTTCTTAAGCTGGCTTCCTTCCCACTCAGTTCACACATGGAAGACAAGTAGCTGAAGGCTACATTGCAAAAAAGTCCCTAGTCAGCATAATCTTCTCTCTAGAATTCCTTATTTGTCCCCCTCCTTAGTTAAGAATCTCTTAACTAATATCTTAACTTAAGGGAGGAAAAAAGGAATAATTTTACAATATATTATATTTAATACTTCAGATCTGTCCATTTTTAAAAGTTGAATTATAAATTTTGTTTGAATAACAGAGATTTTAGATGATGACAAAGTCCATTATCTAATCTGCAATAGTACCTGTAGTAACCCAATTGCCATTACATGGGACACAGAAATAAAATTAATAGTAAACGAAAAATAGTGTACAGACTAGAGAGCATTCTCTGGTCTAGATCCAAACATGAGCTGTTGGGAGAAAACAGGAGAAGATGGGAGAATGGGAAAAAACAGACTTTATTGCTGTTTTATTTCAGAATAGTTCGTTTTTAGTGCATGGAGTCTCACTAAGAACAATCATTGAAGGGGCTATTGGAGGAAAGAATAGAACTGGAGGGAAAGCAACTTTCTTGACTTACCTTCTGCCATCATTTCTGCACCCTGGAGAATCCATTCTCTCTCTTTTTCTGTATGTTGGGCAAATAGTTAAGAGAAACACATAAATTAGTTAATAATTTAATATGCAAAAATGGTTCATACACACAAGTGAGTTTATATTTTAAGAACAGTCTTTGAATGGGCTATTGGAGCAAGGAGCAGAACTGGAGCAAAAACAATTTTCTCTTTCTAAAATAATGAGCACTTTAGAAACATGGGGGAGGGGGGGGGAATGAAAAAAAATATTTATATGATTTTTTTAAAGGTTCCTACAATGTGATAACCAGGATGGGACAAATTTAAAACTGTGACTTGTAAGAAAGTGAGGAATTAAAAATGGTATTTGTCCACTCTTATTCTCATGTTTGCTTATTTTTTAATGAACATAGTTTCATACAAATGCATTCCTATGACAGCTCAAAATGTAAAAACAAAACAGTAAAACAATCCTAATCAGAAAGTGAGAAATAGAGAAATAGAGAATGATTTCTGAAGAACACACCTAAAAAAATTATTGTAAAAATACTCTTAGCCCTAGCATTACACTTATATATCACTTCATAGTGCTTTAACAGTCTTCTCTAAATGGTTTACACATAAATTAGTTAATAATAGTTAACTAGTAATAATAATAGTTACTGCCCCCAACAATCTGGGTCCTTATTTTACTGATCTCAGAAGGATGGAAGGCAGAGTCAATCTTTAGCCCCATCAGGATCGAACTCCGGGCTGTGGGCAGAGTTTGCCTGCAATACTTTACATTAAGCACTGCACCACCAGAGTTGAAGTTAGGTTCTACCACCATATAGAATGACATCTTGGCATCTGGCTAACTTTTCTTTGTGATACTGTTTCTTTTCTGCCTACACACCCCGGTCTAAAAACAACATCGCCCTTAAGTGGTCTCCTGCAGTTAAGTGGTTAAATTATGTATGGTATATTCTATAATATCAACTTGCCTCCACATTCCTTTATAAAAGTATCGTTATTACAGTTTAATCAAGCTTGTGTTCCTAGGTTTAGTGATAAACCGTTGAAAAGTAGCAACTTCCTGATAGTTTTCAGCAGGAAGCTGAAAGAAAAAAAACCCCAAAGAAAACCAAACTTTATCAATTCAGTGCTTTCAATTGGGGCTCTTATTTTATCAAATTAAAATAATAAAAGCATCCTGAAAAATTTGAAGCTGTATATCATCTTTTTACAATATTTTTTAAAGATGTAAGTAACAATAATGTTTTTTAAAAGATGTAACACAATTAACTTCCATATAGGTTTTTAAAAATTATACATAACTTTTTTCTATATTTCTAGACAATTTTATCTAATCAATAATTTTTAAATATAATTTTCCACAAAAAAGATTTGATTTTACAGCAACCAAAATTTCTAATGCAACATAAATCTTTCAGGCAATCATGTCAGATAGTGGTATTTTAGTTTAGTTTAACAGTGGATTTATTTTCCATCTTTAGATTTCATCAACAGTATCTACGAGGGAAATATTAATGCTATTATTCAGCTGCAAATGCTATATGATTCTATAAACATTCTCCTCCCCTCCATTACAGGCATGAGCCAAGCTTATAACTTATATAAATGTATTAAATTATATATACATTTTATTATGTATATTTTAAAATTTGAGCTCTAAGTCCCTTTTCATAATCTTAAGCCATTCTGGAAGGTTCTTACCAGACTGAATTTCTTTAAAATTAGTTTAGCTAGATGATTTACAAACTCATTTTTACTACCACTAAGTTGTACACAATCCTTTTTCACAAAAGTGGGCAAGTATGCTAGAGTACAATTTATATCTGGCCAAACTGTAACATTATAAATTCTTTTTCCTTTCTGTTCTTTTCTGTGATTTAACGTGCTTAGCTCCAAAATCTTTGCACTTAGTTGGAATTATTTATTATCCTTACAAAGTCTATTCCATTTCATTAAAAGTATATTGTTGTAGTGTAATATTGGAGCTTGGAAGAACCAAGTTCAAATCCAGCCTCAGCCATAGAAACTCACCGTGTGACTTTTCCCTCAGCTAACCTATTTCACATAAAAATTCAGCAAGACTCCCCTCCTATCATGATCCTTTGGAAGAAATGCAGGATATAAATCTATGTGTGTAAGATACAATAAATGCTGTAAGTATCTGTGGGTAACCCATGCCAATCAACAAAAAACACTTAACCTTAAGTCAAATTTGCCTCAAACCTGATCAGAATTTACTCCATTCGTTTTTTCAAATTGTAGAATTAGGCTCTTGGCTTAGCCCCCTGAGCTAAAATTTTAATGTTACTATTCTACTTGAAGCTTATGAGAGCTGAGGTATAAAACATCTGAAGAACATCTACTTGTGAAAGACAAGAGGCAGACAGAATTTGACAAATGAATGTTAAGAGTGAAATATTTAATGTTTCTCAATAAAAAATGTTTAAAGACTGTTTCCTGACAAACACACACACGCTTATACACATACTGTATGTATGTATATAATTTTCTATCATATAGTCTGTCTATGCGCGCACACACACACACACACTACCAATAGAAATATTTTTTTTTAGATTTAAAATAAAACAGTACAACAGACCTGGCATTAATTCTACGACATGACCAAGTCAAAATTTTGGAGCTGTATAAGCTGACAGGATTTAAATAGTGCCTATCTGGAGACTGGTGTGGGGAAGCAAAATTGTTTTGGAAGCACATTTCTATTATTTATCTCCATGCTGGGCACTTATATCTGTATAAAAATTTAGATTTCTAAACATTTGAAGTTCTCATTGATGTCACTCCAAAGAAAATGAAATAAGAGTAAGTGCTGCACTTCTGTATCTTCTGATGGTGCAGGAAAGCACAAACAAAGAAGTTCAAAGTATTGTATTGATGAAAAAATATGTACCATATGAGAGTCAACAAGAGTTTCATAATCCAGTTTCAATGTAAGTCTGCTTTTAGTAATGACTGCATAAATGCTCTTCCTCATCTGCTATTTGATGCACACATTTTCATTTTTAAAGGTCATACTCTGCCTTGATTTTAAATATTAGCAATATTTACCTAGATTAGCAACAAGTTACCCATTCTATTATATTATTTTCAGATAAGAGATTAATAAATACAGAGGGGGGAGGGGGAGGGAGGGAGAGAGAGAGAGAGAGAGAGACAGAGAGAGAGAGAGGGTTCCCAAGGGCAGTACTGGATATAATAAGTAGCAGACATGGAATTAAACCACCACAGTGACTTACAGTACTCCTAATTTGATCCAGGAAACCCTGTTTCTATTTTTAATATAACAATAAGGGTCAGCATGTGATCAGGTCCCTGCTTTAATAATGTGTAAGCACAATAGAAAATAGCTGCTGTTGAGAACAGAACACCTAGGAGAACACGGAAGTCACATAGTAGCAAATCCCATTTTAGTATACACTAAAATTCACAACTAGTTCTTTCATCATAATGGAGCCCCAATAGTTCACAAGATATGATAAATGTGTAAATATTAAATACAATTGATGCTAAATACTTCTGTTCCTCTGTATTCACATTCCTTGGATACAGCAGTAGAAATCAAAAGCATCGAAACTGTACCCAACATTTCATGTATGGCTAGAAGAGCTTGTTTTGAAGATTTAATTGAAATAAGCAATTAATAATTATCAACAGTTATAGCATATTTGACATAAAAGATTCTCAGTGGATATTATAGTGCAACTCAGCAGAAAAATATATCTAGCTTAAAGGCTACAAAAATCTATTTGTTTTATTGCCCCCAAACCAGTAGTGGGATTCAAAAATTTTTACTACCGGTTCTGAGGGTGTGGCTTGGTGGGCGTGGCAGGGGAAGGATACTGTAAAATCTCCAGTCAGAGGTGGTATTTCCCGGTTCTCCAAACTACTTAAAATTTCTGCTACCGGTTCTCCAGAACTGGTCAGAACCTGCTGAATACCGCCTCTGCCCCAAACAAGAAACAAAATTAGGTGCCTTAGCATTTTTAAAAAATATTATTTTTGATTGTTTAGTTGTTGGGTGGTGGGGAGAAAAGGTACTGATTGCAAAGAGAAGGGCCTCCACAAACAAATATAAGAAAAGTAATTAAAGCAGGGGGAAATGACATATGTAACATGAAAGTAGATCTCTAACCCTTACCCCCATCTTCAAATAATACATTTACTTGGAAAACTTCAATCTCCTATCAAAATAGTTAAGTTCCCACACAGCCTGAAATTTCATAAAAGGAAGCAGCATTGTTTCTACATATATTTTAGAGGAAATATCTATTCAAATCTTCAGAATGAATGCTGATGAAAAATATGGAAATGGGACTTTATTTGGACACAGTAAAACAGTGCAAGTGCTACAATATAATGTGGAGGGGGACACTTAGGCTTTTTAATGGCTGTAAGGTTCCCAAGTCATCGTATGTAGAAAAAAAACCTCCCTTGTGGCAAGAATCTGGTGCTCTGAATCCTTATTTCATGCATATTTCTAAGAAAAGAGATGTCCCAGCTATGTTTTCCTGTGGCTTTATATCAAAGTATCACTGTCCATGATCAACATTTCTTACCAACTGTCTTAAAAATTCTAGCATTGGCAAAGTCAACACATTCCAAATGCGGCCAAAAAAGCATTTTGTATGCAAACAAACACAAGCAATTGCTAATGCTAAGCTTGCCTGAAAACCCAAATATTTTTGCAGAAGCATTTATAGCTTCAGGTGCTGCTCTGTCTTTATCAAGAGAGTCTGGCAGATTATAAAAACAAGGAACAAAATAGCTGCTTTATAAGTCGATGGCACTTTCAGCTTTTGTACAAGCACAGTCCAGAGCAGGGCTGCCAAAATTATCGGAGGCAGTTCCCAGATAAAAAAGTGGTGCCAGTCTCTCTTAAAATCTTGTCAAACCTTCAGTGTGATAGCCAAACTTGGAAACAATTAACCTGAAACAAAAGCTCAGGATTAATTTCGCTGCCTGCATTCTTACAAAATGGCTGACAGTCAGCCATTTTCTCATTTAGATTTATGAT